GGCTCGATTGTTGTCGATGATCCGGACGCATTCACCGAGCTAATTTTCGAGGCCGTTAAGCAAGTCGGCTGTCGTGCTCTAGTGTCCAAGGGCTGGGGTGGCTTCGGTTCGAATGCTGACTGCCCAGACAACGTCTTTATGCTGGAAAATACTCCTCACGATTGGCTCTTTCCTCGCTGCAGTGCTGTTGTACATCACGGTGGAGCGGGAACTACAGCCATTGGCCTCAAGTGTGGGATACCGACAATGATTGTTCCATTCTTTGGTGATCAGCCTTTTTGGGGTGCAATGGTCAGCAAAGCAAAGGCAGGGGCGCACGAATGCATACCCTACAAGAAACTTACGCCCGAGCGTTTGGCCGAGGGTATCAAGCAGTGCCTCACAGACGACGCCAAGGAAAATGTCAAGAAGATCGCTGACAGCATCGCCAAGGAGGGTGATGGTGCGCTCAACGCAGTGCGCTCGTTCCATCGGTCGTTGCCACTTTCAGGGGAGGGAAGTATGCGATGCGACCTTCTCGATAACCGCGCTGCAGTCTGGAAGATCAAGAACACGCACGTTAAGCTGTCTGCACTGGCCGCTGAGATACTGGTTGAGAAGAAGAAGCTTAAATGGAGCGAGCTACGCCTCGTCCGTCATTACGAATGGAACGACTTTGGTGGGCCTGGCGAGCCCATTACTGGGGTCTGGGGCAGTCTTATGAGTTCTTTCTCGGATGCTGCAGCTGGTGTCGGCGGTATGCCTGTTGAAATTGGCAAGAGCATTAGGAAGAGAGAGAAGATCAAGGAGAAGAAGCGTAGGCTACAAAGAGGCAACAATGACAAGAAGGCTGCACATGCAAAGCCAGGTGCTGGATCCTCTGAGGCAGTCGAGAATGATGTGAAAAATCCACAAAAGGGTGGCAGACCGCAGCCCACCCGCAATGAGACAACCCTTTCGAAGATATCCGAGCCTAGCGAAGACCTGGTCGATGAACTTGGACGCGAGGCTGCTTTTGGCTTCCGAAAGACTGGCCATGCCATTGCTCGCTTTCCTATGGAAGTGACACTCGCAATCACTCAAGGTTTCCACAACGCACCACGCTTATACGGCGATGAGACGGTCCGCCGTCCGCCTCGGGTCACTGGGTTTCATTCTGGGACACGCGCAGGGCGTGACGAATTTCTGTACGGTGTAAAGGACGGTGTCTCGGGTCTCATCATGCAGCCATACCACGGGGCGAAAAAGAATGGAGTGATGGGTGCCTTGCGCGGTGTAGGCTTTGGAGTAGGCGGCTTCGTTCTCAAAGATATTGCAGCCTTGCTCGGGCCGATGGCATACATGATGAAGGGACTAGATGCAGAATACATGAAACGCTATCAGCCGACCAACTACCTCCGCCGAGCACGCATTGCCGAAGGACAGCAGGAAATGTTGATGCTGACTTCGGCGTCACGTATCGCAGCTCAACAAGCAGACACGGGAAGTGCTGAGAAGAAGGCAAGCATTGAAGAAAAGGTCAGTGTGCGTTGGAATGCGCTCCAAAAGATCATTGCGGAAGACAAGAAGCGACACAAGAACGGCCTTGTCGGTTCGCTCACGGGACGGGGCGACGAAAAAGATGGGCAGCGCGTAGGTCGCAAGAGCACGGAAGTATCGAGAAAGGATACCCGTCGATCGATGTCAAAGGGACGAGCTAATACGCGTGCGCCCAACGATAAGCCGGGACGTGTGCATCCTGATGAGCTGGCTAAGGTAGAGGGTCCTCACGGTGTAGCGAAGAAGAGCATGGAGGGTAAGGCGCGAGTTGGCGTGAACAGAATGAGTACGGCACCTACGACGACGGTGGAACGGAATCAGCATGAGGATCGGGAGATGCTGGATGTTCCTTTTGTGCAGCGTGGTGGTGGAGTGAGGAATAGTTGTGGTCTGACGGACGATGATGGGAAATCTGAGAGTACAAGAGTGGGAAGCGAGATGGATGAGGGGATGAATGCGAGGCAGAAGGTAGATGGCGTGGCAGTGGAGGATGGGGCGAGGACGGTACATGTTGTCTAAGGATGGTGATTAAGGTTTTCTGTGGCTCCTTTTCATCTTTACTGGTTTTTTTCCTTTGTAATTATCGAGATACCCCCCCACTTCTCCTTGCTATTGCATTCTCTCATTGCAATTCACGCGTCTATTCTACCTTTCTTCTTCTTGGATAGTCTGGGAGAGATTCAACGTCTGTACTTGGAACTACTAGAGACAATTACCACAAGTGCTCTAATCTCGACATGGTCACACCAACTTGTACATTCAACGCTGCAAGCAATTAAGAGAAGAAGAGTGGTAAGTTTTTAGATTCTTATTCAAACGGCCAAAGCCAGGATATCAATAGTTACTTGTCTACACATTCGCTTTTAAATTACTTTTATGCAAAAACCCACACAACCACACGCACACACACACCAATGCTCCAACGAGGTCACGTCTTAACCGTCTCAACCCAACCCTCTCGATTCCGCGCTACCTTTGACATATCGCCACCAGCCAATTCTTTCGCGAGGCCATCTTTTGCGCCCCTCCGTCTCGCACGCTCACGCACGGATTGCTCATCCTTTTCACACTCCTTGATTGCCTCTACGACTTCCAGCTCTTCGAACCGCGCGTCTTGGAGATTGAGCTTTTGCCACTGAGGATGCTTTTGGCAGCGCTTCTTCAGACATGCTGTTTCTTTGATTTCAATATCCATTGTGTCGATGCCGTTTGCATCTGGTATTGAGGATACTTGTTCATCGGTGGGGGAGAGGGTCGAGTATTGGAAGACTGCACGGCCGTGTCTGCTGTTGCGCCAGAGGAGAAATTCGGCGTCCGACCAGCTTAGTCGCGAGTCGTAGCCGCAAAAGTCTTTGATTTTGATTTTTTCGCGGTCGGCGAGACGGACGGCCTGTTCTTTTGCCATGCTGACAAACTTTTCTCGATCCTTGAGGACTTCTAGTCTGTCCTTTAGTTGTACTTTTTCTTTGTGCAGAGCGGCTAGTCGGTCGGTTTCGGCGGCGGTTAGGGCAAGATCCTCGCCGTTGGAAGGGAAATTCGAACGCGAGGGGGATGCGGTTTGTGGAGGGGTTAGGACACCGGTCCCTAGATTCTTGAAGGCTTGGATGTTGGGGGACGCGTCGACGAGGGCCTTGAGGTCTTTGGCTCGCAAGGTGCCGCCAAGTGGAGTCGGCTCTTCTTCATCAATGGCCTCGCCATCTGTCGTCTTCTTTTTCTTCTTTTGTTTTTCTCTTGACCCATTTGCACCTTTCGCGCCGGCTGTCCGCTGCAATTGTTCCGACATGAAGAGAAGTCCGCAGTCGTCGGAACAGTATTTGCTTTCCTTACCCTTTGTGAGACGCGCGGGCTTCCGGCACCCGTCCCGCCTGCACATTGGCTTCCATGTGGTATGTCCCCTTCCGTTTTCTTCACATAGTGGGCAAATGAATCTGTCGACCAGCTCTTCGTCTGCCTGCTTCATGTTGACGCAGTCGCCATGGAACCAGTCGTCACAGCCACCATCGCAGCCAATCATCCATCGGTGGTTGTCCGGCTTCTTGCACAGACAGTACAGATTGTGATCTTCGGAGGACTCGCCATCGTCGTCGGAGCCGTGAGCCTGTGATGAGTTGTCGGGGGCGGGCGAGGACTCGAGGGGGGTGCCGGCATGGGAGCTTCTCTTGAAGCCGCGGGGAGGGGGTTTTGGGACGCGGGCGGTGGGCGTGACAGAACGCGTGGTGCCGTCATCGGTCTCGACCTTGCGCTTCTTATTTGGCTTTGATGTCTTTGCCGTGCCTTTTTTCCTCACGGCAGAGGCGGAGGCGGGAGCTGGTCGCTTCTTGGCGGAAGCCGGAGCAGGCTTGGGCTCTACGGGCGACTGGAGACCATCGGCACCCATCTGGTTTCTTCTGCGCAGCCCCAGATCGCTTTGCTTTGCAATCTCGAGCGCCTTGAGGGCATCCGAGTCGACGTCCTCGCCCGGGACAGAGGCCTGCCGGTCTGGGTGAGCCGCGCCTGCTGCCGGCGTATTTTCACGCGGCGTGGCCGAGGGCTCATGCTTGATCGAAGGCTGGGGTGAAGGCATTGCCGCTGTTGAAGTCGCGTCGTGCACTTGGTCTTGCAGGGCGGCGGGCTCTGTGTGGGCTGGGGGATACTGCTGCCCATTGCCCAGCGTGGCCAGCGTGGTGAGGGCATCGGTGGCATCGTCGGTCGAGGTTGTCGTCGTCATGGTGTTTGGTGTTTGGGTTTGCGATGATGATGTGCCTGTCATGGTGCTTGTCGTGGTCATGTCGGCGCAATGGGCGAGCGATGGGCGCCGGTCGGGGTGGGCGTCGTGATTGAGGAGAGAATCGATGCTGCTCATAGCGGCCAAAGCAGTCATGACGCGAGGGCTGTGGGAGAGGCCGACGCCGTAGCCACGACGGCTGAGGCTGCCTCGTTCCAAAATGGTCCCGTTCCGTTGGCCTTGGCGCCCTGCTGCTTTCTTTCTTTCTTTCTTTGTCCTTCTCTCCACAACTACAACCACAACCACCACTGCCACTGCCACTCCACCTCACCCCGGCCATCTTGTCATTTGGATGGAAAAAGCCACTGCCGCTTGTCATGATTCCCACGTGTCGGCCCTTTTCTTTTGTTTTCGTCAGCCGCATCACTTTCCCCGATGTCTATTGCGAATACTCCCATGATACAAAATTAACTTTACTCTAAGTCGCCGCAATTTCCCTTTCCCAGCAACATGATACGATGACGCCTTTTTTTATAGAACCCGACAAACATGGCCGACTGGACATTTCACCTTTTGAGAGTTGCATCGTCCAGCACTTCTTCCGTACAACCATGATTATTGCAGAAACATCGGTATAAGCGAACAAACATATCGAGTGATTGCGACAAGTCAGAACAACACAGGAAAGCCAGCCAAAATTTGGTGACAACGCATTACAATTGCAATATTGCAAACTATCCCACCATCTGCTGAGCGCAACACATATGGTTCATCTCGACTATCGCTCGTTTGCTTTCAAAACCGCTCTCCACTGTGCCGCCGTAGTCTCGCCCACAGCTTCTTCCAGACTCTCAGCATCTCTACCATTTTCACCATGCTCAAACACATGCACCGGTCCTAGTCTATCATCTTGCTTCCGATATGGTGACCATGGCAGCTTTCCGTAGCAAAAGTCTAGCCACGCAGCTCGAATCTGCGCTACGTTGCCTGCGTGTGGACCTTGCAGTTCCTCAGACACAAGGTCTGGAGCTACATCAAAGAGATATAAGTCATTTACGGCGTGATTGGCACGTCCGAATGACCAAGCCCACTTTTCATATGGATTCTTGCAGCGAATCTCATAGAGTAGGACATTGGCAGGGTGGTGGGCTGCGATATGCAGGGGCGGAACCCTGAATGCCACATCAGCCAACAGCTCTGCCCACTTGTACATTGCAGATGAAGGATGCTCAAGAGCAGAGGTGAGGTTGTATGCTTCCGTGACACTGGGATGTGCGTCTGGAAATGTTTCTGGAGAAACAACCATGCCGTTGGATGATGTCAGGTCATAGATTGTTGCACGCATCCGGTTGTCGGGTGCGGGTTTCATTGATGGTATATCGTCTAGGAGAAGCAATTGTGTAAGATCAGCCTACAACTTGATGTTAGTACCCAGGTATGCATGGTGCATCATTGGAAAGAGAAAAACCTGCCTCAAAATTGCAAGCGCCTATCATAAGATCGGGCGCAGCTTCATCTTTGTAAACATTGGCAATACTCTGCATAGTCGCCCCTGGGATCCAGTCGCCATCGATATATGGATGGTATATGCCAGCTGATATTGGCTTGACAAGCTCCTCAACCGGTATAGATTGTAGCAGTTTTACTAGATTTCCTTCTGATGTACTCTTTTCAGCAGAGTGCCTGGACACGTATGCAGCAAACTTTTCCTGTTGGTAAGGCATGGGCATGGGACCGATACCTGTCAGCGTTCCACTCGCCAAAATTGCTCTCTTGAATTTTCGAGCGGGAAAAATGCTTAAATAATGCGCTGAGCTTCCTCCAGCACTTGTGCCTTGAATGGTCACGTTCCCAGCGTCGCCACCGAAGCCGGATATGAATTTGTTGCACCATTCTAATGCCTGTCGCTGATCGTGTAGTCCATAGTTGCCGACTGCCTCGCCATGTTCTTTATTAAAAGCCGCGAGTTCGTCAGATGCAAGAAAACCCAGTGGCCCCAAACGGTAATTGCAAGAAACTACTACAGTTGGTTGACTGCGAGCTATGCTTGCGCGTACAAGGTTCGTCCCATCATAGATCTCGCGGCCAGCGAGTTGCGTAGACTGTTTTCCACCCACGAATGCTCCGCCGTGGATGAAGAAGAACACCGGAAGCTTTGTTGCCGAGTCGTTCTCTAGGCTGGACCGAGGAACGGTAATATTGAGATTGAGACAGCCGAATTCGTCCTGCGGAGGCCTCGGCAATGGTGGGAAATCTTCTGGTAATGATCCTTCCCAGTAGGTAGGGAAGGGTAATGGCGGTTGCGGACAATACGGTCTATCGTTGTGTCAAACTTCGGAACAAGCGATTCTTACATGCTGCTAGCTTACCCAGATCTTCTGGCATCAAACGGCTGTTGCGGTAACGACTCCAGAAGACGCGCCTGGCGAAACCGCGCCGGAATGGTAGCAAACGGGATACCGCGGAATTGGACTACATCATCTCCTCTTGCAAGTCCGACAAGCTGCCCGAGGTCTTTGTGTTCTAGCTTGTATTCTGGAAATGAGTCAAGAGCGTCATCTTTTGCAATGATCATGATGGATTTTGTCGTTTGGAGAGATATGTTTAGCACGATCGATCAACTACTTATGCCAGCTCGACAGTAAGCAATGAGTTTTGTAAGACAATACATATACTGTCGATACAAGTAGAAAGTAAGTTTCTCCATGTCGTTCCGCAAGTGCAACAGTCGCGTGATCTGGGCATATTTCGGCAGTTACATCAGCTCCATGCTTCCGAGTCGACTACTAATAACTAGTACTACTACTCCACGCCACACTATGCCTGAAATGGACAATCCCCGCAGTCGAATGAACAGACTTTCGCACGCGCAACCGACCCATCTACAGTCAACCAGGAATTTCTCATGAGACCCGGAATTATGCTTCATTTTCTAAGTTTCGTTTCCAATGGCGCCCCGACCCCCGCCCCGTCGAATGTTCCACGTGCCAATGACCCCTTGGCCATTTGGTCTGGGGAAAATCTGGCGTAGGTACATGCACACTATTCGTACTACATAAAGACGCGATTGCTCGCCAGAATTGAATGTTCACCAAACAACATTTCTCAAATACTCCATCAAGCTTCTTACTTAGACACCATGGGGACATCTGTTGTTGATGCAACACATGTTGCGGTGCCGCGTCGATCGTGGACTTCGCATATCATCCACAACCCACGCTTGATCTTCTCCAGTTTCACACTCGCGCTGGTATTCTTTACTTTTGGCTTCGACGGATCCGTCATGGGTGGGATTCTCGCAATGCCCCCTTTCATTCACCAATTCGGAACTGGCAAAAGCCCCAAAGGACCAATTCTCACATCTACCGATATCAGCGTTATGACCGCTGTCCCTACTACCGGATGCCTTCTCGGACTTCCACTTGCCGCATATTGCGGAGACCGGTGGGGAAGACGTAAAACTCTCATCCTTGGATGTGTCTTAAGTGCCGTAGCCGCAGCGATTCAGACATCTGCCTTTGGCATGGCACAGCTGGTCATTGGGCGTTGGCTAGCTAATGCAGCCATCTTCCTTTTCATCGTAATGGGCTCGACCTTCTTGGCCGAAATTGCACCAGACGAGCTACGCGGAGTGCTCATTGGGCTGTCTATTGTCACCATTGATGCAGCAGCGGTACTTTCCAACGGGATCAACTGGGCTGTCAGCACCAATATGACCCAGTTTGCATATCGATTTCCCATGGGCTTGCAAATCGCCTTCCCTATCATTCTGGTCATTGGCTTCATCTTCGTAGATGATTCTCCAACCTTTTACCTGACTCGCAGTGAAGACTCGCGAGCACTCAAGAGCCTACGTACAGTGCGAAGAGGGTACAACGAGCAGGAAATCGAAGCAGAGTTCGCTGCATTGAAGGCACAGGCAGCGCTGAGGGCCCAGGATGTCGAGGTACCGTGGACGCACATCTTCCAAGGGGTCAATCTTCGCCGCACTTTGCTAGCGCTCAGCATTGCCAACATGCAACAACTTTCTGGCATAGTGTTTGCGACCAACTACGCTGTGATTTTCCTCGCGACTATCGGTAGCAAGATCAGTCCGTTTCTTCTTGCCCTGGCAACTTCGATCCTGGCTTTTGGCGGTGCGATAGCCGGCTTGTTCGTAGTAGATGCGGTCGGTCGACGTCCACTGGCACTGACCACATTCACTATCTTGTTCTTCATCAACCTGGTCATTGGTGTTTTGGGGTTCACCGACTACCTCCACAACCAGAGCCTTAGCCAAACTATCGCTGCTTTCTGCTGCATGTTTGCGTTCTTTTTCGCCGCGGGCTTTGGGCCGTTGACATATGTTGTTTCGGGAGAGATGCCAACTGCTCGCTTGCGAAACAAGACGAGTGCTTTTTCCTTCTTCGTTTTGGCCTGTTTCTCGACTGCTGTCCAATATATTTTCCCGTACATCGCCAATGCTCCGTAAGTTCATCTATCCTACTGGCCATGAGGCTTTCACTGGTTGCAGAGATACTAACAAATTATCAGTGCCCACCTTGGACCCAAGACTTATCTCATATTTGCGGGCTGGATGCTTGGATGCATCGTTGTAACTTTCTTTTGGTTCCCTGAGACCAAAGGGCGTACCCCGGCTGAGCTGGATGAGATGTTTGAGGCGCGCATTCCTGCACGACAATTCAAAAGTAAGGATCTTGTCCTTTGGCGAACGAAAAAAAAACCTCTCTGCTAACACAATCATAGACTATGTGTGCAGCGTGAACATTGAAAACTTCATGAACGAAGATAAGGCTGGGTTGCAAGTGACGCAGATTGAGAAGCTGTGAGGCGTATCTTCCCAGCTCGAGAGATTGTAAATAGGCCGACTTGGCTCGAATGGTCCCTGCAAACGCGATGTCTTGAATTTTCTCTCTATCATCGCGCTGTGAAAATGTATGCTAGATAGTAACGATTGAAATAATTCATCAACCGTTTTCTCGACGTACATTATGTTATAGAATGGCCACTTCCATTTTCTGGAAAAGCTTTTGTCATTCCAAGTTTGTACATATCCTTCAGATTCTCATCACGACCCCTTTCTTCGTAGTTACTCAAACAAGATCCAAATCACATAGCATCCGCATATAGGGTCTCAAATAAGGATGCTTCCCACCACGAAACGACGCAAAAATAACAAGAAACCGATTGACGAAATCTGCTAAACATGGGGTACTTTTTGGACATATTATCTCCTCATCCCACGCGCTCCCTTCTCCCTCATTTAAAGCAGGCTCGATTACCGACGACCCCACTGGCCACGATAGCACGGCATCTGTATCCTGACCGAGCGGCTCGCTCGAAAAATGCGGTATCGCATAGCCAACCTCTGTCGGTTGCGTCGCCTTGATCGCACTGGTAACGATATCGTAAAGTTTCTCGACCTTGAAAAAGTTTAAGTTACGATAATCGGCTTGAGGGAATACATAAGGAATTACTTACCAGGCCCACTCCATGACATTCCAGCGATATCATATCGAGGGATTCGCACGTCTCGACACTATCGTGTGCGATTGTTAATGCGTAATCCGGTCGCATCTGGACTGCTGCATTTTCCTCGTGCAGGAACCCGTGGCGGGAGCCGAGGTCCCACAGGATATGGCAGATCCAATGCCTCGTGACCAGTACATCCGCCCTTTGGGCGTCGTTTGGGGATTCGCGCGTAGACATGGGTTGCGTGTATCGTCGCAAGAGCGTAGCAACGGTCTTAGCGGAGATGTGGGTGGGGGATGCGTCGTTCCAGCATTGATTGCGCCAGCATTTGACGAAGGTGGAATCGACAAAGTCGATTAGGTCGACCATGTAGCCGAGGCCTGCGATGACTTTTTCGTCGGGTTGGCCCGAGTTGGTGGAGAGTTGGGTTAGGGTTGTGCGGACGATGTGGAGGCGGCTGCTGGTGAGGAGGTAGTCATTTATGGGGCTGTCTCTTTGGATGGCGTATACGCTGTTATTGTACATTAGTGACGGCGACATAGGATAGAGGCGGGTACAGTTGCATTACCACATACCGATGAATTACCGTCAGACAAAGAAATGTCCTCAACCTCCTATTTTTCTCATTTCTCGAAATATTCTCATACATCTGCGGATCATCCAGCCCCATTGTTTCAGCCAATGTAATTGCTTCTCGAAGCCGAAATCTGGCAGCGTGATGGTTGCCCTTGGAGAACTGGCAACCAAACAAAAAGACGCTAGTGAGGACATGCTCCAAAACTGGATTTTCGCCAAAGTCGGCATGAGAGTGTAATCGCACGGCTTCTGCGAGCAGCCGTTCTGCTTGGTCGATATGAACGGGAGATTTGGGCTGTTCCGATCCTTTTTGCATCATCTGGAAGACGGTCAAGGCACTGATTGCATGGATGAGCGCGTTGAATGACTGATCGTACAATGGGCGTTGAGCGTGGATGTTATCGACTAAGTAAGAGCGCTCAAAGAAAGGCATTGACGGGTGGAGTCGGTCAAGGAAGAGATCAATAATGTGCAAGATGCTTTCAGTAGCTGCAGGGCGCGAAAGCTGGAGAGTTGGCTCCAGAGGATACCCGAGGTTTTGATTACCCATCGGCCATGGCGGGTTTGCACAAGGCTCTAGTATGGTGTTCGCAGATGATGAAGGAGTGTCTCCAAGCGGGACAGCATCTCCTCGCACTGGGCTTGTAATACCAGGGGCCATGCTGAATTTAATCCAGTCGAAGCTGTCAATATCGGCATGTTGGTTAATTGATAGGAGAAAGTCGTCGAGGGTCTCGCTCGCCTCTACAGTACCAATATTTTGAATATCTATCATTTCGGGCGATGAACTCGCTGGTCCATCTTCAAAGTATCTCCTGTCAGAGATATTGAGACTTGGTGTCTCGAGCCTTGTAGAGCTTGAAGGTGTTTCGTTTACAGGGGGTTTGGTACTTGGTCTTCATTTCTGTTAGCATCGATAGCTAGATCACTGTAACAGCATATCAAAAATGATGGCATAAACGCATTAGGGAGACCCACATGAGTTGTGTACGTCGGCGGTAGTGGGATCGGCGCTTGTATGTACATGGTCTATGATTTGCAACACATGTATGGCACGGTGCATGTCGACTACACTACCGAAACGGGTATAGTTAGGGTGCTTGTTAATAGTTCAAGGATGGGTCATCAGTAAACCTACTTTGTTTTTGTGCACAAAACATTGATCGCATGAGCGCGGTTGGACAGTTCGGACAAGGGTGCTGTCGAAGATGACCTCCTCACCCATTGTAGTAGCTACGTAGGCAGAAAGTAAAGCGTCAGTTGCCTGGTTCTGAGCAACGCGTCAAGTCGCCTCGACGCTCTGCTGAGCTGGGAATTGTGGTATGGCACGGATGATGTCGTATGTTCTGTCAGACACGCATAGAGCTGCAGGTGGTGTTCGGCACGAGCTCACGTGATGCTCGTCCGCCCCACGGGGTAATTGTCGGGATCCCATGGACAACGCAAATGCCGAACCCGCGACATTACCCACCGTCCCATGCGCCAGCCCCGCTACTTAGCCCTTCTCGTCGAATCTCCATCTCGCCACGAACCGCATTTCGACCAGGGCTACAACTCTTTGGGCAAATCTCCATGGTCCGACATCGAGGCTCTTGATACTACACAGTAGGCCGCGGGTCTTTTGAACGCTTAACCATTGACTGTGATGTCTACCCTATCCTGTGACAGCACTCACCCGTAGCTCCGTCATGGTTGCCTTGAAAGACTTTCCCGTAACTACCCAGGATGGTCTTCTTAACAGGATGAAATCTGATAGACTACACCCCCTCAACTGCTCTCCTTCCAAGTCTTTGGCGCTATGACTTCACACATGCTAGTAACTGCAACCCCCATCACTCCTTTCCAATTCAAAAAGGTCCCCAGAGTGAGTGTATTCTCTACACCTCTGGTCTCCGAAACGACGCCTGAACCGAAGGAACGATGGCGACCACGCCTACATCTCGTGGCTCCTCGTGGCTGGCTCAACGACCCTTGCGCCCCTGGATACGACCCGGTCAATAAGAGGTATCACCTAGGTTTTCAGTGGAATCCAAACAGCACAGAATGGGGCAACATTTCCTGGGGTGCAGCAGTATCCCACGATCTCCTCACATGGAAAGTCTCAGATCGCCCATCTATGCAGCCCTCTGCACAGTGCGATTCTGGCGGCGTGTTCACCGGCTGTCTTGTACCCACTGCAATCGATGGATCAGAGAACGGCGTTCTAACAGCGGCGTACACATCAGTGTCCCGCCTCCCGATTCACTACACGCAGCCATATTTCCGAACATCAGAGGCAGTCGCTTTGGCTACATCAACCGACTCTGGCAGGACATGGACTAGGTATGCAAATAACCCTGTCCTCGCAGAGCCTCCGCCGGGCATCGACGTCACCGGCTGGCGAGATCCGTTCGTAGCTCCCTGGCCACGCATGGATAAACTCGTCAATCAGCAACGGGTGAACCAAGACACCAGATCTTTGTATGCTGTCGTGGCAGGAGGAGTTCGAGGGAAGACACCAACAGCCTTTCTCTACCGAGTGGATGCCAATGCACTGGATTTATGGCAATACCTTGGCCCTTTGATCGCCCCTGGCTTGAACTTTTGCCCTTCGCCGCGCTGGACAGGAGATTTTGGCGTGAACTGGGAGGTGAGTAATTTTGTATCCCTGACGAGTGGAGATGGCAAGATATGTCGTGACTTTCTCATTTGTGGCGTCGAAGGTCGGTTAGCTACCGATGAAATGATTCGCACCAAAGGCAACTTCCGAGCGACCAATGCGCAAATGTGGCTTTGCGGTAGCCTCGAGAGTGCGCCGGGGGTGCACATGAAATTCGGGTTCGGAGGCAGATTGGACCATGGTCTATACTATGCTGGCAACTCGTTCTGGGATCCGCAAACGCAGCAGCAAGTCATATACGGCTGGATCCGCGAAGATGACCTCGATGCAGAGCTCCGTCGGCGACAGGGATGGGCTGGTGTTATCTCGTCGCCACGAGTTCTCAAGATGCAGGCCTTGACGGGTGTCACCGGAGCCCTGCTATCTCCACTTCAATCTATCGGCTCCGTCGAATTGGTGCCTGAAGATACGGAGGGCTCGAGCTTCACTGTCGTCACGTTGTGCGCAGTTCTCGACCCTCGGTTACGCAAGCTACGAGGCTGTAGATTTCCCTCGAGGGAAACCTCGGGGCAAAGCTCAGGCGGGGCTTTTGTGTTTCCTATGGCCTGGTCGCAGTGGGAGATGGAACTAGAATTTAGAATGGAAGAAGGCGCTGCCAAGCTGGGGTTTGATATTGTACATTCAGCTGGTGAGTACGTTGATCAGACAAAGAGAAACGTGCAGATTAACACGAGGCTTACAGTGGAGTTTACCCGCGTTTACTTTGATGCGAATGCGGAGACGATTATCATTGACCGGAGTTGCTCCACATCGCTAGATGGGATCCGAACATGTCGAGAGGAAGCGCCCCACACACTGTTCAGGATTAGGCAGCAGGGCAAAGACAGCCCCTTTACCGAAAAGGGGATACTCGAAACCTTGCAGTTCCATGTCCTGTACGACTCCAGCGTGCTTCAGGTCTTTGTGAACGAACGCACAGCACTGACCACGAGGGTTTATCCCGTTGGCGGGACGAGCACGGGTATCCGCCCGTTGGTGGAGCGAACAGGTAATCATTCTAGCAACACTGGAGGGCCGAAGTCTCGGGGTTGGAATATGGCTCTGTGGCCTCTCTCGCTTCTTGTCTAAAGGGGCTTGTCGGTTGCCCCTGTGGTCTAGATAGAGGAAGTGGGCAGGTGTGCCTAATCTACTTGGAAACTAGCTGTTGCGATACGTGCGTAATCGCTCTCGCTCCCGTGAAGCCATTGCTGAATCGCGTGGGTGCATAAGCATATCTCGGATCTGATGTCCGATCACGAAGTGCAGGCCTGTTAGGGACATTGATTACTACCGGGAGCAGCGCCAACACGCCGACCCCCGTGCCCCGTGCCCCGTGCCCCGTGCCGCAAAACCATGTCCTTCACCCAGCACGGCCATCCAAGCCCATGGGAAAGCAGGTACACAACGCTGTAAGCAAATCGCGCCATAATGCTAGTCCATGCAGCGTGCGACAAGTCTCTTTGCCGTCTTGCATCGTGGCTGACATGCCATTCTGCTTAACCTCCCTCATACCTGTGGCCTTATTGCATGTGCTGATCTGTCTCTAGGGGAGCTTAGTAGCTTACAAGCATGTGATCCTTCCCGTCATCCCCTTCAACAGCCACAGCGCCATCAATGCTGGAGCTCAATTCGCCTATCATGAATGAGGCCAAGCGAAGTACGTGCGGTAGGAACATCAAACCCCCCCGCTTTCTTCCCTGCACATGGTGCTGCTGAGCCTGCGATTCAACGATTAATACTCGAGCGGCGTATACCAGATCCTACGCATCATGCCATCCTGGACGACGGACGTTCAGCTCGGAGACATCATAGCGAAGTGACTTTGAGACGTACCAGGAAGAGCCGGCCGTAGCTTGGGCGCTGGCTGACGGGCTACAAGCGAAAATCATGTAGACGCGTACCGTACGTACTACAGGCTAAGTACCGCCAACGCTAACAGAGTGGTTGAAGCTGAACGGCGATGCTCAACAAGCACAACCATGGCGATGCTGGCACCCTTACCATGCCCAATCTCTTAATGTTCCTGAAATATCAGTGCCTTGAGCTGAAACATGGCATGAGGAGGATATGCGGCCAAGATGTTGTTCTCGTGAGCACATGAATGCGAGGTGCGTTACTGCTGCACGGCCTGACTCGCTTCAGGCTTCCCAGCAATGTGGCGCTGCTATGTTGAAAATATAGTACTTGGTACGGAAAATATGCGAAAATGCTCCAGAAACAGGCCCACACACTCTCTTTTGGCTACTATGGCTGCTGTAATAACCCCCAGTCTCGTCACGGCTTGCATAGCTCAGAGAAGTGTACCCAATGCCGAAAGAGACGGGACGTACTTGGGAGTTGCTGTACTATGCCATTCGTTTGTCATAGTCGAGGTGGGAGCCAATATGCTGGTGTGGATGAAGCCTTGATCCGAGCCAATCACTCTCTTTTGTCAAGTCAAGTTGGAGACTGCTGGCTGCATGGCCATAACACTGCAAAGACCCGGTGTGTGCCAACCTGAGCAGGATACGTGCCGGCTTGGCTGGATAGCTAGTGCTAGATGGCGAATACACAGTACGGTAGAAGAAGCAATCATAACCAAGGCTTGGCTGCACTCGTCTGGAGAGGCTGTTGTGAATGGCCAAGTGTATGGGCGAGGAACGAAGGGTATGGGCAGATGGATGGTGTTGTTGGACAGTCTTCGGTCGCTTGATGAAAGTCTGTCAACTGTTCGGAAAAGGGCGCGCGACAAGAACCACGGGTTGGTGCTCCGGAGCAGTCACACAGTTCAGCATGGATCAGCAGCGTGCTGGCAGGAACTATAAAGTTTGCCTTGTACGGCCCAGACAAGGAGAGGCTACATTGGCGCGGTCCCTAGGCGTCCAGCTAGTGACGCAAGCGGGCCACGCATGTAACCAAGTATGAATTCCGGG